CATAAACAGAACATGCCAATTCGTCACTAGTACAGCAAACTGGTGTGTTGGGGAGCCAAGCCACAACATTTACAATCTGAGTACGACGTTTCACCAGTAATTACAACTCGCTTCATCAGGTGACAGCCAGATTTGTGTAGAAGTCCACGTGTTTCGTTCCTTATAAAGAGGCATATATGTGGTGACCACACTTCTGCGCTCTTGCACAAAGTGGGGGGGGGGGGGGGGGGGTGAAGGATTAATGAGCCAACGTACATTATGCATGCACATTATGCGAGCCCTTTGATCTTATCCTTCCTGTCCATTGTATTAAAATAGCAGTACCAACAGTAATCCCTATTGAAGTATGGTACCCTGATAGGCATGCATTTAAACAATGTATTATTTGACGATTTGCTTCCACGCAGCACTAAGTCGGTAGGTATCCAAACAGTTAAAATTATTTGTATTTCTTTCAATTTCGATAGATTATCTAATTAGTATTGGCCAGTAGTAGCTAGTTTTGCACAGAACTTCAACATTATCAAAATCAATTGAGTGTTCTTGTTGGCACGCGTGTATTTAATATTTCTCTGATGTTCTTTTAGTCTCGTGCTGATCATTCGTCCTGTTTGGCCAACATATCATTTGCCACAAGTGCAGTTAATCCTGTAGACACCTTCTGTTGATCGCTTCGGTAATACATCATTTGTACCAGAAGTCAAGTTCAAGAAACATAAGTACGTTTTTATTACAACTTAAAATATACATACAGATATAGATATACATGTCCATCCAACCACGTCTCAATGTCTATGTCTGGGAGAACACGCTAGTTTCTCCCTCTGTGGAGTCTCCACCAGTTTTCTTTCTTCTTGTTTCCCAGCTCCTGGTCTTGGCGCTCCTTCCCTCTGTCTCCTCCTCGTTCATTCTCCTCTTCCTCATCGTTCTCCAGCTGCCGTGTGCAGCCCAGGAAGCTCCAAATTGCCCAACGCCAGAAACTGTTCTTTCTCTCTCTCTTAGAAGATGGGATGTGCTTAATCTCTTTCTTCTCTTCCTGAACAATGTCTGCCCTCCAAGGTTGCTCGCATCTCCCTTCCTCATTCACCACTTGCTTTGTATCGTCTTCAATCATGTCGACCTCCTTCAGCTCTACCTCATTTGCCTCTGACTCAATAGCTCCTACTTCTTTTGCCTCTAGCTCTATTGCCTCTACACCATTCGCCTCTACCAAAATCGCCTCACTCTCCTCCACCTCAATAGCCCCTACCTCCACTTCTACCTCAGTCACTTCTACCTCATTCGCCTCTAACTCATTCGGCTCCACCTCCGTAACCACCTCCTGCTTGGACTCTCCCTCAATCTCCTCTACCTCTTTTGCCACTTCCTGGTTGGCATCTACCTCGACTGCCTCTACTTCATTCGCCTTGAGCTCAATCACTGCTACCTCCACTTCTACATCAATCACCTCTACCTCATTCGGCTCCACCTCTGTAACCACCTCCTGCTTGGACTCTCCCTCAATTTCCTCTACCTCTTTTGCCACTTCCTGGATGGCATCTACTACATATGCCTCAACCTCCTTTGCCCCTTCCTGTTTTATCTCCTCCACCACGTTCTCAACTTTTTTTGACATTTCCTGTTTGGCCTTTACCTCATTCGTATCTACCTCATTGATCAAGACCTGCAAGGCCTTTTCTTCAATCGTGTCGACCTGAATTGCCTCTACCTGTTTCACCAATTCCTGCTTTGTATCTCTCCCAATCCCTTCTACGACATTGGCCACTACCTCTTCACCACTTCCTTCCTGGCCTCTCCATCATTCCCCTCACCCTCAATCTCGTTTTCCTTCATCTCTTCTACTTCGCGAACTTCCATCTCAGTCCTTCGTAGCTTCCTATTCCTACGTTTCCTCTGAACACAATCCTCTCCCTCTTTCTTTGTCTCCACAACATTGTCAACTTTCTTAGCCACTTCCTGTTTGGCTATTCCCTCATTCCCATCTACCTCACTTGCCTCTACTTCTTTCCCTAAGTCCTCCTTGGCATCTCTCTCAATCCCTTCTAGGACATTGACCACTACCTCTTTCACAAATTCTGCGTGGCCACTGCATCTATCACCGCTACCTCACTCGCCACTTCCTTTTTGGGCTCTCCATCATTCCCTTCTCTCTCAATCTCGTTTTCCTTCATCTCTTCTACTTCCAGAACGTTAATCTTAGTCCTTCGTAGCTTCCTATTCCTACGTTTCCTCTGAACACAATCCTCTCCCTCTTTCTTTGTCTCCACAACATTCGCAACTTTCTTTGCCACTTCCTGATTGGCTATTCCCTCATTCCCATCTATCTCATTTGGCTCTATCTCTTCTGCTAATACCTGTTTTGCATCTCTCTCAATCCCATCTATGACATTGGCCGCTATCTCTTCCACCACTTCCTGCTTTGCCATTGCTTCTACCTCAATCACCACTACCTCTGCCTCATTCGCTAATTCCCGCTTGCCATCTCCTTCTAACACCTCTACCTTATTCAACTCTACCTCCTTCATCACATCCTCCAAAGCCACTGTCTCAATCATCTCTACCTCAATCATCCCAACCTCCACCATTTCCTGCATGGGCTTTCCCTCACTCCCCTCTCTCTCAGCCACCTCTTCTTTCACCGTCTCCTCCAGAACTTTCTTCTTGTTCTTATGTTTCTTCCTACTCCCACGTTTTCTCTTCATACAATTTCTCTCCCCCACTTTCTCCATCTCCTCCATCTCGTTCTCAACCTTCTTGCTATTTTGACATGTCTGCTGCACATCCTCATTACTAGCGTTGACTTCTGCCTGCTGCTGCTCTTCTGCCTTTTGCTGCTGGTGGTGGATGATGAAGCTCTTCAGCTCGGTGCTGTTCTGGAATTCCAGCAGCTCCTGCTGATACTTGGCCTGCTGCTGTGCACAACGATCCAGCAGGATCATCTCAAGCTCCCGTATCTGGCGCTCAGCTTCTAGTCTTATGGCACAGTGCATCCTCTTGCGCTGCCTCTTCGAGCCAGGGTCTGGGGAGTCACATGGGGAGAAGAGAGCAGCACCCAAATGATTAATTAATGGGTGTTTGAGTATTTCCTGTATTATAATAGGTTTTTGCCCTTTTTTCTGGAAACAAAACAGGTGTTAAGATATTAAAACACCAAACTGATACATTTTACAAGGAATCATGTCTGCATTAACCACAATGCTTGTGGTCAGAATGCAAACAAAAATACTCTAAATTGTCCTTGAAACTGATTGGTCCACACCAGAGACAGCTTTATTTTGAGCCTCGTCTCAAATGGTGTTAGACCAGAGGACACAAACATGCGCATTCCTGTATGTTATTTTGGTAAAGAAACTTGGTACCATTGACAGGAATCTAACTTTACTTGGACCGATGTAACAATGATACCACTGTAGGGAGGTCTGGAGGTTGACTCATGTGCCGGAGAACCTCCTCCTCCAAAGTACTTCATTAGATTTATGGGCTGGCTGGGGAGGCCCTATTAAGTTTGCGAGGTCTGAAACTCCAGGCCAAACATAAATAAACTTCCCTTATCTCCGAAAAAGTAAGATGGATTGATGACCAAGCTGTGGAAGTCTGGCTAAATTTATAAGATGTCCATTGTTTCACAAGAGAGAGCATGAATCGGATAAAAATACACTATTAATTCTTATACATGGTCCATTCATACACTTAGTATATTAGTGGGCTACGTTAGAGAAGGAGAAGATAAAGGGAGGAGAGGGAAGAGGAGGGCCGGGGTGCCCGGAGCCCAGAGAGTGCCCAGAGGGGCCAGAGAGCCAGGGGCAACCCGATGTTTTGTTAGCTGGATAGCATGTGCTCCCGTGCATGTGAGGTTGCTCTCAACAGAAGTCTTCCATGCACGAGAATGGCTGAAATGCTGAGTA